CTATGAAGCACAGGTCCACTCTGATGCACATGGAGTTACCTAATTAATTGGTATGCAAAATATATATAAAAAACAAAACCCACTGTTGAGTTGATTCCAATTAATAGCAACCGCATGTGTGCCAGCGTGGAACTGTACTCCATTGGGTTTTCAATGACTGATATTTTGAAGTAGATCACCAGACCTTTCTTCCAAGGCACCTATGAGTGGATTCCAGTTAGTAGCTTAACACTTTACCTGCTTGTGCTATTCAGATACTATTCCTCATCACTGAAGATAAACTAATTCTCACCTGGCAGGTATTAGCCGAATTCAGAAAGTAGTTTCATGCTCCACTGAGTTCCGGATATACCTCCATCTCCCTTAGCATTCATTTTCCATGTGAACTTGAAAGGGGAGTGTGCAGATGCAAGCAGGAGACGCCAGGCTGGGCAGAGCTATGTTCACATTCTACTTCATTGAGAGTGTCCGTCCCTCCGCACAAAGGGGAAGTAGGGGCAGAGTAGGACGGGGGACAGGGACGTTTTTTCCTGGTCCTTTTGTCTAGACTTTAGGTAACTTTTGTTTAGTGCTTTTTCATTTTGGTGAAAATGTATGCAGCAAAATAGCTACCATTTCAACAAATGTTTACAAGTATATTTCGTGACATTACTCATATCTATCTTATTTAACCATAATCACGATCTGTTTCCAAAATTAAATAATTTTCTTATTATAAAAGTAATCATTTGTAATTGGTAGTACATACTGATTAAAGAAAGTGTACATTTAAATTTAAGTTAAAATCATGTATAATCCCTCCACCAAGAGATCACCACTTATTTCACATCGTGGTGCATATCTATGCCACTTCTTCTTAAGTAAGGATAAAAATAAAGAAATTACAACGAAAATTGTTCATACTATATATACTCTTTTGTAAAACATATATATTTAACAATATATCAGGAAGTATCTATATCCTTACTGTAGACACTTGGTCTTACAGCCTAATATCATAAAAATAATGTAGAAAAATCAACAATTCAATCATATTAAGAAGAGTTATACGTTTGTCACCACATTCCGTTCTAGAACATTTTCTTCTTCCTTGTACTCATTATTCATGTAATTATGTTTGTGAGCCTTTTTCTTTTCAGGGTTATTAGCCCTTTGTATTCCTTCTTTCCTGTGTGCAAGTACACAACTTTTGTCTCTCTCTTTAATGGCATATTTGTCTTGTTATTGTTGATTTCCAAAAATTTCTCCACTTGCAATAAAAGATTACCAGGATGTTTTAGAACAATGGTTCTTAACCTTCCTAATGCTGCAACCTTTAATACAGTTACTCATGTTGTGGTGACACCCAACCATAAAATTATCTTCATTGCTACTTCATAACTGTAATTTTGCTACTGCTATGAATCATAATGTAAATATCTGATATACAGCATATATTTTCATTGTTACAAATTGAACATAGTTAAACATAATTAAAGCATAGTGATTAATCACAAAACAATATGTAATTATGTATTCTGAAATATTTGTGTGTTTTCCGATGGTCTTAGGCGACCCCTGTGAAAGGGTCATTCGACCCACAGGTTGAGAACCGCTATCTTAGTAGATAATCCAACCAAAGCCTCTGCAGCCTTGAAAGCCCTTTGCTCAAAATGCTAGACCCATGAGCATTCCAACACTCCTGTTCCTCACTAATGAATGGACAATATTTGTATCCATGCAGCAACAAAGGACAGATGAGCTTCCCAGTCTGGCAGGGTACACTGAAGATTATTGATAAATGAATGTCAACTTTTCTTCTTTTCCTTCTTTAATCATTAACTTTTGAAAATGTGCTTTCAATATCAACTTCCTCATGTATTCCATGTCAGCTTTTAAATCCTGAATAAAAATGCTAGAAAAATTAGTACGTCTTCCTGGCATGACCTACCCACTAAAAATTCACCTGTTGTTATTAGGTCCCATTGAGCTAGTTTCAACCTGTAATGACCCTATGCACAACAGAGTGAAAAACGTCCCTATCCTGCACCATCCTCACAGTTGTTCTTATGATTGGGCCCATTGTTATAGCCATTGTGTCAATCCATCTTCTTCTTTTCACTGCCCCTCTAATTTACCAAGCATGATGTCCTTCTCCAGGGACTGGTCTCTCCTGACAACATGTTCAAAAGATGTAAGATGAAGTTTCGCCATCCCTGGCTCTAAGGAGCACTCTGGCCTTACTTCTTCCAAGACAGATCGGTTTGTCCTTTTACCAGTCCATGGTACTGTTAGATTTCTCAGGTAGGAAATACCTCAGTTCTTCTCTTTGCA